ATGTAGATAACCAATGTTCCCAGCACCGTATTTGAAAGACTATCCTTTCTCCATTGCATGGTTTTGGTATCCTTGTTGAAAAACCAGTTGACCAATGTATATGTGAGAGTTTATTTGTAGGTATCCTATCCCACTGGTTTACATGTTTGCACTTATGTCAGTAGCACACTGTTTTGATTGTTGTAGCTTTGTACTACTTTGGGAAATCAGAAAGCATGAGTCTTTTGCAGAGTTCATTTTTTGCTACCCTAGTAGTCTTTGGTTGCGTTCTTGCTATATTGTATGATAAGTTTCAGGTTCATTTTGTACATCTCTGGTCCTAGATTTGTGATCAGCTGTTTTCTAAGAGGCTCGTTAAAGGGTTTTTTTATTCGTTTTGTTTTGTTTTGAAAGGGTGTATGTTGAGTGTGGTATTTTAAAAAGCACAGTCTAGGCACTGGGGATATTCATGCTAATGGGCTGTTCATTGTTCTCAGGCCTTTTAAGTACGTAGAGATGGGAAATAACTGCACATACATCCTAGAGACCAAATACATAAAACCATGTAAAGATGAACTACTTTGTGAGTTCATACGGATATTTTCAATTTAAATTAAGGACTACTTTGTTTATATGTATATCTGTTTTCTTCTGCATTGAGAATCTTAGTTCTCAAGGATATAAGGAATGATAGAATTAGACTCTCATAATGACTTAATTGTTTTATCCATGTTATATACACAGTAGCATTAATAACAATAGTCATTCTGTTGCCACAATTACATTTACTGAAAACAATAAAAAAATTTTCTTTTGGCCTAGCGATCCCCATTCTCCATCCCCCCGTTTAAAAAAATGAATATATTCTATATAGAACACAGATGTTTCATGTTATACTGACTCCCCATTAGTCCTCATTTAGTCTTGTTTCTACAGATAATATGTATCTTTAATGCTCACCACCAGTTCCTTTGCCAAATGTCTCTATACTCAGTTGGCTTTTCTGACACATGCTGACTGGTAGGTTCCTCAAGAAGGGCTCGTGGGGCCTGCCGAGTGGCGCATTGGTTAAGAACTGGCTTGGGATGCCAGAGGGCCCCTGTTCAGATCCCACATATGAGGGCCAGTGACACTGCCCTCTACAGCTAAGATGCTGAACAACAGCTCAACTTGGAGCTGGGCTTCCATGAGTCGCTAGCGACAGCGTAGGCTGCAGCCCCTGCTGCAGTGGGTTGCCATGGGCTACCGTGTGTAGCCAGCAGCCAGCGTGAGCAGCCAGCAGCCACAGTGAGCAGCTGTCCAGAAGCCGGCGACTGATCTGCCTCGCCTGGGAAGAGTGCAATGATGGTACCAACTTAGGCCAGTGAAGCAAAGTCCTCCACAACTACACTGAAGAACATAAGGACAGCACCTTGTCTGTTCCCCTTCCCCCAATTCCCCAGCGCTGTTCCCATCTCCCAATTCCCCAATAAAATCTTAAGAAAAAAACAAAACAAAAGAAGGGCTTGTGGGAATAGTATTTCCTTGGTTTTTGCATGTTTATATAACATGTAACATGGCTATAAAATGCTGTACTTAGTTCATATTTTTCTCCCTTGACTATGTTAAACATATTATTTGTTTTACTTTCAGTATAAAGTTTTCCTGCAGAAAGTGTGATGATAATATTATTTTTCTCTTAAAAGTCTCTTGCTCTTTTTATCTAGAGGTCTGAGGGATTTTTTTTTTCTAATTTAAAGTCATAGTTTACTAGAGTATAGCTTAGCAGTGATTTTTCTGAGTCAGTATTTTCAGGTGTACAGTATGTTCTTTTAATATAGAGTTTCAAATAATTTTTTATTTCAAGAAAGTTCTCTTAAAATCTTATAATTGTTCTGTTCCCTTGTTTTGGAATTCATATTATCTATATGCTGAATTTTCTTCGCCTAGCTTTATTTTTTATCACTTTCTTTTGGAGCTCTCTTTCTTTTTGATTTAAAAGTTTTTCCTCCTTTCATCTTCTGTTAAATCATTACTTATTATGTTTGTTTTTGTGCTCATTCTGGTTTAGTCTTCATTTCTAAAATGATTTACTTATAAGTTTTTCTTTAGTCTGTCACCTCATTTCAATGTTTTTCTAATTTTAATTTAGGTTATTCTGTGTATCTTATATAATTTTCTTCATGTATTTTTACTTGCTTGAAATACTAGGTTACATTTTTATCTGTTTTCTGGCAATGTATTTCTGACATTGCTGTCCAATATGGTAGCCACTAGCCACATGTGGCTACTTAAATTTAAATCAATTAAAATCAGATGATGTAAAATGTAGCACTGGCCATATTTCTGGTGGCTACCATATTGGACTGTGCAGATGTAGGAGATTTCTGTCATCGCAGCAGTTTCTCTTGTTTAGCACTCACCTGGGAGAATAAGGCTACTATTCCGTACCCCGACCCGTTTTCTTATAGTAGCTTTGGATGGGACCTGACGTTGAGACTTTTCTACTCATTTTGATGTGGAATTAGTTTTCCTTAACTTTCAGAGGTTAGCATGGCTCCCCCTTCTGTTGATTTTATGTAAATGTTAAACAATAACTGGATTAAAAACTGGTGGCTTGCTTTTAGAAATTTTTGAGCCTGTTCCCCTCCTGCACTTCTATTTGTACTTTATCTTTCATTGTCTCTGTATCTCTGTCCTACTCAAGTTGTATTCTACCCTCAGCAGTTTCTCCTTAAAGTGGGGCCCTGTCCTAGAAGGGCGTCCTCGCTTGTGAGTCTGAGAGGTCAGAGTGGCAGAACTGACCGAACCCTTTTAAACTTTTATCATGGACCCCTGTGCTCACCTGATAATAGCATATCGACCCACCATACTTTCTAGTGGAGCCTGTTGACTGTGTGGGGTTTTCTTGCTCTCAGAATCATCAGAATCTTGTTTCCCTCTGTGTCCTTCTCCACAGCATTCTGATAATTGCGGGTCTCATTTGTGTTTTGTATAGTGGGGATTGCCTTCCACCTAGTTTTTTCAGAAATGTGGCCCACTGGTTTTTGTGATCTAGTTGCTCTATTTTTATGGGGAACTTGGGAAGATTGAAAAACTATGCTGTAGGTTGCCATTTAAGCATTTTATGATTTTTATTTAGAATTCATGTAGAAACAATTCAATGGAGTGTGGTAGAAAGGTAGATGAAATAAAATTGGCCATGAGTTGATAATTATTGAACCTGGGCCATGGGTACATAGATGTTTATTTTACTATTCTTTGCTCTTTTCTTGTGTTTGTGAGTTTTATAATTTACAGAAAAATAAAGAACGTAATGAAAAATTTTAACATCAGTTTTTCATAGCAAGCTTTCCATTTCTCCCCTTATTAATTTTTGTATTTCATCTATAGAAAAGGGCATCTTAATATTAATGTATTACATAAATGACATTAGTTCATACACCAGTGCTTGTTATTGTTATGTTTTCCTTTACTCATCATACTCACTTTTCTCAGTGTGCCTGTCATTAAAGGTGCCGATTGACTTGTCTCATGTATTGGCATTAATGTGTTTCACTCTAACCATAAACTCATATCTCATTTAGCCTTTCCCTTGAATATCTTACTATGCTCGTTAGATAATTTTACCTTTCCATCGATAGTCTTTTCCTAGGCCCAGTTGTTTGTTTTTTTTTTTTTTTTAAAGATTTTTATTGGGGAATTGGGGGGATGGGAACTGTGCCGGGGAATTGGGGGAAGGGGAACAGACAAGTTGCTGTCCTTTTGTTCTTCAGTCTAGTTGTGGAGGACATTGCTTCACTTCCCCATGTTGGTATTATCATTGCGCTCTTTCCGGGTGAGGCAGATCAGTCGCTGGCTTCTGGATGGCCGCTCACTGCGGCTGCTGGCCGCTCACGCTGGCTGCAGGCTGCATATGGTAGACCATGGCAACCCATTACCACAGGGGCTGCAGCCTACGCCATTGCCGGCGACTCACAACAGCCCAGCTCCAGGTTGAGCTGTTGTTCAGCATCTTAGCTGTAGAGGGCAGTGTCACTGGCTCTCATGTGGGATCCAAACCGGGGCCCTCTGGTGTCCCAAGCCAGCTCTTTTTTTTTTTTAAAGATTTTTTTATTGGGGAACTGGGGGGATGGGAACAGTGCTGGGGAATTGGGGGAAGGGGAACAGACAAGTTGCTGTCATTTTGTTCTTCAGTCTAGTTGTGGAGGACGTTGCTTCACTGGCCCAAGTTGGCACCATCATTGTGCTCTTCCCGGGCGAGGCAGATCAGTCGCCGGCTTCTGCACGGCTGCTCACTGCGGCTGCTGGCCGCTCACGCTGGCTGCTAGCTAAATACGGTAGCCCATGGCAACCCACTGCCACAGGGGCTGCAGCCTACGCCATCGCTGGCGACTCACGGCAGCCCAGCTCCAAGTTGAGCTGTTGTTCAGCATCTTAGCTGTGGAGGGCAGTGTCACTGGGCCTCATATGTGGGACCCAAACCGGGGCCCTCTGGCGTCCCAAGTCAGTTCTTAACCATCGCACCACTCGGCCGGCCCCCCAAGCCAGCTCTTAACCATTGCGCCACTCGGCCGGCCCCCCAGTTGTTTTTTTAGATTCTAAGTCATTCTTCCTATTTCAGTGAGGGGCTTCATGTTAATTTGCATATTATACTTAATCCTTAATACTATAAGACTGTGTCCTTATACTTTAGCATTTCAAATTTCAAATTGACATTTGTAAGCTTAGTTTTCTACAAGGTACATACTGTATTCCCTGGATATCTTTTGATATATTCTGAGAGAATTTTAAGGTCCTATTTTGGGGATAATAACATCTTTCTAATGGGGTGATACTGGGAGAAACTGGAAAAAATAATACAAGGAAAGCAGTGACACGTAAAGCTCTTCCTGTCACATAATGAGTATTCAGTAGATGTTAACTTTTGCTTTTATGGATATTGTTTTATTATCATTTTATTACCTATTTGGAATATTTATGTCTTTATCTTGTCTTTGGTTAGAAGTTATTGGTAAAAAGTCTTATGTTTTAAATGACAGATAGCAGCTGATGAACCTCCACCAGAAGGATGTAATTCATTTTTTTCAGTGCATGGAAAGAAGACTTGTGATTTTGATGCCTTAGAGACTCTTCTACTAACAGCACCTGAAAGGTAGACTGTGTGTTTCTCTTTATCAATGTAATGTATGCATTGTGCTTTCTTCTATATCAAGTCCACCTGTTGATTTTTTTTTTTTTAAATGGGTTCTTTGTAGATGTGGATTCTGGAACCAAACTGACTAGATTTGAACTCCAACTTCATCACTTAAAATGTTTTGTGAACTTAGGCAAACTACTTAATCTTTCTTTCCTCATCTCGTTTTAAAATGGAGATAATAAGAATGTTTAATATTGCTGTTATTATTTAGCAATGACTGTATCTTAGAAATTATATAGACTTTGTCATCAGTTTAGTAAAGAGTACTCTGGGAAAAAAAAAGAAAGAAAAAAAAATTTAAAAAGAAAGAAAAAAAAGAAGGCTCTGTGTATTAAAGCCATTGCCTGAAGTAATTATGTTAATGATAATGATGATCTCTCAGGATATTATTGGTTTTAGACAAAGCAGACTATTTAAAAGATAATTGCAAGCTTAATTTGAATGTTAAATGGGTAAGTAATGGGCTGGCTTTTTGCTGACAGGTCAGTTTCCTTTGGTGGACAAATATAATAAATAGTACCTCTTGCTGTCTGGTTGGGCAGTGCCCTTTGTCTCTCTTACTCTGGTGGTCTTATCAATAGGATACCAGTGATCTCTCTGCCGTGTTGCTCTGAGGGTGCTATAGGTGGGGGTAGTTCTTCTTCAGTGAGATTACCTGCCCAGCACTTATCCTCTGCCCACCAAATGGCATGCGTGCTTCTTACTCAGTGTGACACCCAAAAACCCAGCCTGCATTCCAGCCAGCTCAGGGTCAAGGTGTCTGCTTGGTAAAGTGGTACTCCTTTGGGGAAAAGAAAAGTGGTTAATTAAAAAATTCTTTGTTTAATTTATTACAACAATAATACAACCTTTGTAAAGAAAAGAGTGATAGTGTATCCTCTTCTGAAAGGTGGTAGCTATTTTTAATGGTTTGGCATGTATCTTTTTTGACCCTTTTCTGTGGTTATAAATTTATACAGGTAGGTAGGTTTGTTTTTACAAGGGTCATCTTCCTTGTAGTACATGTGGGTGTAGGTCATTAAGAGGAATTGGTATGTCATAAAGTCTATGCGTTAATGTCTATTAATATTTAGATGCCATTCTTAGAGAATTTTTGAGGGGTTAAGTTTTAAAATTTATGAGGGAAATGTACCGTATTTCCCCATGTATAAGACACACCCTTTTTTGAAAAATTAGGGGTCTAAAAACTGGGTGCATATTATACAGTGGTTGTAGATTTTTTTACTTGCATTTCCCTCAAGTGATGAGGAGTTGTATGAATTATTTTTTTTTAAAGATTTTTATTGGGGAATTGTGGGAAAGGGAACAGACAAGCCGCTATCCTCCTGCTCCTCAGTCCAGCTGTGGAGGACACCGCTTCACTGGCCCAAGTCGGCACCACCATTGCGCTCTTCCTGGGCGAGGCAGATCAGTCGTTGGCTTCCGGACAGCCACTCACTGCGGCTGCTGGCCGCTCACGCTGGCCGCTGGCCACACACGGCCACTGCAACCCATCTGCCGACGCCGGCGACTCACGGCATCCTAGCTTCAGGTCGAGCTGCTGTTCAGCATCTTAGCTATAGAGGGCAGTGTCACTGACCCTCATATGTGGGGTCCGAACTGGGGCCCTCTGGCTTCCCAAGCCAGCTCTTAACCAAAGCGCCACTTGGCCGGCCCTGTATGAATTTTATGATGAATAAAACTTGAGTTGAATAACTTTATGTAATACATTTTTTTCAAATTTCGGGCCCCAAAATTAAAGCGCGTCTTATACATGGGACTGTCTTATACATGGGGAAATATGGTAAATGCTAAACCTATTAGTAGGAAGGTCATAGTAGTAAAGATGACAGAGGAGGGAAATGCCATAATTGGCAAGTTATATGCTTAAAGTATTCTCTGCTTTTTTGCGTTGTTTGTACTTATGTTTTCAGATAAAAGGATTATTATTTTCTGTTTATATGGTGGAATAATTTATTAAAGTTATAGTACTGTAAGATCTGGATATGCGTCCTTTTTCTGGCATTCCCCCCTTCTCTAGGAATTGGTTCACAATTATTAATCAAAGCTATCATTTCAAGTTAGAATTTATGTAATGTACTTTTATTACTATTTTTATTGATGAACAAATAAGACTGTCATACCTGACAACATTCTTACTAACAGAAAACGATTTAAAAATTTGATACTTTTTATATTAAGATGCTTATAATCTTACATAATCATTGCTGTAGCTGCATTTTGCTTAAAAACTTTAAGTTTACAATTTTAAGCTTTTAATATTTGTTTCAGACCTAAACCCTTATTGTTCAAAGGAGATCATAGATACCCTTCATCTAATTCTGAAAGTCCGGTGGTGATTTTCTACTCTGAGATCGGCTGTGAGGCATTTTATAATTTCCACCGCCAGCTTGTATCAAAAAGCGATGCAGGCGAGATTAATTATGTGTTCAGACATTATATATCTGTAAGTATTGACTTATTTTATAATGTTTTAAATATTAATTTTCCCAGCATGATGTTAGCACATAAGCTAATAATTTCCTCTTTTATAAAATTATTTGAACTTTTTTGAGAAGTGTAGTACTTTCATCAAATCTGTTATTTGCACACAGGAAGCACTTTGCTTGCCTTTCTGAGGAAATGTAAAATGATTATGCTTAAAAAATAGCTTAATAAAGTTTACACTCTATTTCAAAAATGAACCATGTAGATTGTATTTAATTTGGTCCAGATTTAATATGGTCATTATACTATGAACTGATTCTTGAATTCAGTTCCTTTCCAAACACTTTTTTTCTTTTTGAAATCTTTTCATTAGATGGAAAAGGAAGGGTTTCTACAGAGGTAAAATCAGGCAGAATTGATTGAAAATTAAGCTTTTAAAATCTTGTGTAACATTTAGCATTTAAAGTATTTATATGTAAAGACTGTTAGCCCTAGAGTTTCTGTGTCATAATAAGTTCAATAAATATTGGATACTAAGTCCATGCACGTAAAATAAAAATTTTAAATGAAAATTTAGTTTAGAGACGGATTTATTAATATTTAATTTTGACAACTGCTCTCCTTCCCAGTGCCCCCCGGGCTCTGTGGGTGGTATCCAAGATTAAAATGTCTAAAGGGCCACCCTCATTCAGGATGGTGGTAAGCCGATGACATTTGGTCAGCCCAAACCCCGATTCCAGACATTTAAATTCAATAAAACACACACACACACACACACACACACACACACACACACACACACATTTACACACATGCTCCCCCAAAAGCACTTCTGGGTTTGAAACCCACCAGTGTAAACCCTGCTGTGTAGGTCTCGACCTCTTTTTCTTTCTCCATTTCTTCATACGGTTTGGTTACCTTTGCCCTTTCTACTCTCCCTTCATCTGGTTTTGTTTCTGCCTTGAAATCTTTGTTCTCACACTAGTGGCAGGATACAAAATCGAGAGGAGGCTGGGAGTCCTGTGGCAGTTGAAGTGTATTTGAACGTATAATCCTAGGTGATGGCTACCTGGCATTAGCATGGTCACATTGTGTACACCGTGACATGTGAAGGGCTCGGTGGTCATGCTGGAATCGCTTGCTCTGATTGCAGAATCCTAGGCGGGAGCCTGTTTATCTCTCTGGCTATGGTGTGGAGCTGGCCATGAAGAGCACCGAGTACAAGGCCAAGGATGATACTCAGGTGAAAGGTGAATTTGTAAATTAGACCAAAGTGTTTTCTTTAAACATAAGTTAATGGGGAACTTGTTTCTTTAATGAAAAAGAATAGATTTAGGAATATGATGAACTTGTGTTTGAATCCTGGTTCTCTGACATCCAAGTTGGGTGACATTAAGCAAATTCTCTACGTCCTAATTTTTGCTCTGTAAAGTGCAGATAATGATATATGCCTCTTAAAGTAGTTGTGAGGAGAAAATAAGATGTATAGGTAAAGGTATTAGTACAGTTTTTTGCACAGAAATGTTCAATGTATAGTAGCTGTTGTTGCTGATGATATGTAGTTCACAAATAGCCATTAATTTGTGGCCCAATGTGAAATCTTAAACTCTCCTATAATTAATGAGTGATGTAATGTTTTTAATTATTTTCTGCTCTTGGAACAGTTTACATGGATACTTCTCGTCATACTCTAGGGTTTTAAATTCACTATTTTAATTATGAGTTTTATGTACAGTCTATTTCTTTTGAGATCTTTTTTTTTTTTTTAAGCTGAGCCATCCTGCCACCTGATGACAGCTCAGCAGCAGCTCAGCTCAGCTCAGGCCAGAAATCGAACCGCTGTTGCTCAGAGCTTGCACTCTTGAGTGAGCTCTTAACCAACTGAGCCACTTGGCCAGCCCTTTTGAGATCATTTTACAGACACAAATGATCAGCTTGAGTACATAGAAGATAACCTAGTAAATCATCATTCTGTTCTCAATAATTCTACTTAGGATTAAGTTGTCTGGTTACATATTGTTCAAAATTTTCATATTGAAAAATTCATTATTCATAATTTTAATAAAGGTATTAATTTAAAATTTTTTAACATGTAATTTCCCAAAGTTTAAGGGAAAAATGCATTTTTACTTTATCCAGGAACATAAGATATATTAAAAACACATTTATTCTGTTTGTTACCACTCCAAAATGTTAATTGAAGTATTCATTTTAAATGGTATTACAATTTCAGGTGTTCCTAATTTTTTTCACATTATTCAGACTTTATGAGGTTAATAGTATTTTTATTTCTAATCTGAGTGATTAGACTTGTATGTGCTGTGCTTTTATAGGAACTGAAGTAAACACCACAGTGATTGGTGAAAATGATCCTATTGATGAGGTTCAAGGATTCCTCTTTGGAAAATTAAGGTATGTACATTTTTTTGGAAAATGGTATTATTCTCTTTAAACCTCCAGGCTTCGGAGCCCTGAATTCTACTTTATCTGGAAATCTTAATTAGGACATTTACAGTGTGCATTTTTTTTTTTTAAGAAGTGATCATGTAGAAATAATATGTATATGCTCAGTTTTATATACTCAGCTTTAACATTTGACCAAGTGAATAGTTTAGCAGAGATGACTGAGCTCATGCTGAGTTACTTTAGGCATGTTGAGTTCATCCTGGGCACATGTACATTTCTGTGTGTTTCATATCAGTTTTGGCCCCATTACTAGGTAATCAGGTTCAATTTTTTATTGGCCCCGGGTTTCCAGAATTTCTTCAAATATTCATATTCATGTTTTTCATGTTTACTCTTTTGAATAACATTAGGATTTCATGTATTTACAGCACAAGGTAGTATGTAGACTATTGAAGAATTTGGATATTCAGAATAGTTATTTAGCTAAAGTAACAGGACTGTAATTTTGGTATTTTTATCATGAAGAAGAGTTTGTAGTAGCTGATAGGAAGAGGATTTGTTGGAAGGTGAAGGATCTGAGTAAATATTTTACTATCTGCATGTTGTATTTAAGAAATTTTGAGTTTATATTATTTAAAAGAACAGAATGACTCTTACCACCCATCTGTCTGTCTCATCTAAATGATACACCCCTGCTTCTGATAACTTCTGTTGTACTAGCTTTAAATAGAATGCACTACATTTGAAGATAAAACTAAACAAAACCCAATAACCTTGGTTAGATATAATCTTGAATTATATTCATGTGACCAAAGGATTTATGAGCATGTTGCTGAAAGAAATTCATTTTGGGATCAGTAGCAATGTATATATCCAATTTTATTTTGAGAAATTATAAAGCTACAGGAAAGTATGGGAAATAATATAACATACTCATGTACTCACCACCCAGAATTGATTATTGCCATCGTACTTACTGCTCTGCACCAAAGAACTATTTATCAAGGTTTTTCCCCAACACACTCCTTCTTCTAGTTAAAAAAAGAAAGAGGGCCGGCTGAGTGGCTGGCGCGATGGTTAAGAACTGGCTTGGGATGCCAGAGGGCCCCGGTTCGGATCCCACATATGAGGCCCAGTGACACTGCCCTCCACAGCTAAGATGCTGAACAACAGCTCAACCTGGAGCTGGGCTGTTGTAAGTCGCTGGTGACAGCGTAGGCTGCAGCCCCTGTGGCAGTGGGTTGCCATGGGCTACCGTGTGTAGCCAGCAACCAGCATGAGTGGCCAGCAG